CGGGATAAATTGAAGTTGTCGACAAAGGAGAGACACTAGAAATAAGGGGGATCGACAAAGGCATCCTTTAGAAGGTGGGATTTCAGTTGGGCCTTAAGTGAGGCCAGGAGGTTTCCTGGGAAACATGGGGGACAGCCAGTGAAAATGCCCAGTCCGGGGATGGAGTGTTTCCTTCAAGAAATGGAGAGGCCAGCATCACTGGGGGTGTGTGTAAGGCAGTGTCAGTGACAGGCAAAGTGTCAGAAGACTAGAGAGGTGGGGGTGGGGCAGGTCATGAAGGCTTTGAACACTCAACAGAAGATTTTGTGTTAGATTCTGGGGGCGATAGGGAGCCACTGGACATAACTAACCAGCGACGTGGTCACAACTGCACTTTAGGAAGGACAGAGTCCAGGGGTGAGAGGCTTGTTTGTGGCAGGGAGAGAAACAGCAGGCTGCTGCTGCAGTCCGGGTACGAGGAGATGAGTGGTGGCCGTGTTGGAGGAGAGAAGGGGGCGTTTGAGACATGCCACAGGCCTTGGCAACAGCTTGGGGATGAGGCACGAGAGATGGTGAGGAGACAAGGATGGCTCCTGTGTTGTGATTCTGGGGGGCTGGGGCGGGCCACCCCCTTCCCACCCAGCGCCTGGGGTGGGGTTGGCTCCCTTTTCTTGCCTTCATCCAGTTGGCTCTTCCCTTCTCCCCTTCCCCTCCAGTTAAGTAGCAAGTAAAATGCCTTCTCCTCAACTTTAACTTTTTTTTAGGGTCATTTTCTGCACCTTTTTTAAGGATCTCTTCCCCTCATTCTCTCCATTATTTCTCTTCCCTTTCTATTTTAGACTTTAACTCTTTGACTCACGGCCCTTATGCTTTGGTTCTTTCGTCTCCACAACCCTCTTGGAATTAAAGCTTCTAAGGTGCCTAGTTTCGGTTCTTCTTCTAATGAGTTTTTATGTTGGCCTTGTGGACTGCGCCCCTGCCCCCCCCAGCTCGTTTTTTTCTTTTTTCCTGTTGTGCCTTACTCTTAGAAATGCCAATTCCTGAAGGAGATAAGAGGGAATATTGCCCCATCGAGTGAGTGTCTGAAGCTGAATTTGAATTTAGGTCTTCCTGACCAACACTCTATCCACTAGTGGCACCACCTAGCTGCCTGTCTGATTTTTCCTTCAGTTACCTAGAGGTTATTTCATTATGTGCATATACATGTATATATATACATCTATAATTATTATTTGTCTTTGGTGCCTTTAAGTTACCCCCATTATCTTTTTAAATGCCCATCACTTAATGTCATCTTGCTTGAGATCTTGATGGCTACCTGGTTTTTAGCCCACCTGAAGCACAACAGATCCTACTGCATTTCATCATTTTAAACTCCACGGATCCGTTTCAGATTTCTTGAAGGCAGTGCTGTGTTCTGCTGTTCTCTTCTGAGTTCATCCCTTTCATGATTGTTAATTCTTCATTTTCCTCCATCAGATCTCTCTTCCTTCCTCTCCATCTCTCTTTGCAGGAATGATAGAAAAGGAACACAATATCAGTGAGATGTAACTGGAATAAACTGCCTCCCCTCAGTCAGTACCGAGAAGAATGTTAAACTCATGTTTACATTTTCACTTTAATCCTCCCTTTAGGATGCATCCTCAGAAGTTGAAGTTTGTTTTCATTGGACTGTTATTCCATCAATGCTAGGCTCCCTCTTAAACCCCAACTCATATTATCAATGCCTGTTTCTCTGTTGGGTTAATGTGTGTGTGTGTGTGTGTGTGTGTGTGTGTGTATTTTTTTTTTTTGTGAGGCAATGGGGTGAAGTGACTTGCCCAGGGTCACACAGCTAGTAAGTGTCAAGTGTCTGAGGCCAGATTTGAAGTCAGCTCTTCCTGAATCCAGGGCCGATGCTGGGTTAATATCTTTTCACACCATCCTCTCACCCTCTTTGTTCAAACATCCTTTTCCTGAGGATAGTGGGGTTCATGCTATGCCTGCTTTCTCTGTGACACTTGAGGACATGAGAGTTCTTATGGAAAATTTTTTCCCCCTGTGGGGGTAAGCGAGTTATCATCATAACAGCCCCTTTCAGTGACTTTGCCTATCTACCTTTTTCCTGTCTCCTATATTTGCATTTCAAATTTTCTTCTTGAATCGGTACTTTTTATGGGGAATGCCTTTCCGATCCTCTTCCATTTAAAGTCCATTTTGTTCCTATAGGATCATGCTGAATAAAAGGCTGTTATTCTTGGTTGTAAACATGTATATTTTGTCTCTAGGAATACTGACGTGCAATATTTAATTTTCTTTATAGTAATAGCTACCAAGTCTTGTGTGATCCTGACTAGTTCATTGGTATTTGAAGTCTTTCTGGATCTTTGAAGGTTTTGTTTTTTGATCCGGAAGCTCTGGACTTTGGCTATGACATTCCAGGGATTTTTTATTTTGGGGCTCCTTTAAGGAAGTGAGTGGTGAATTCTTCCTATTTTCACATTGCCTTTTGGTTCAAATAGAGCTGTGCTATTATTTCTGATTTCTTAAAATGTTTTTCAGTTTTTGCCTTTTTTTTTTGGTGAGAGGAGCTCTGGATGGGACACAGGCTCTTAGAAGATTAAATCTTAGCGTATCTTTCCTTGACCTATTTTCTAGGTTATTTTTGCTATCTTTCCACAGTGCCGGATTTGATGAAGGTACTTTACTGTAGTTTCTCTTTGAATTTCTTAATCACTATTCTTGATCATTGTTTTTTAGATATTTGCAAGAATATGTGTAAATGGTAGGCTCCTCAGTGACCATGTAGCAATCCCAATAAGAAATCTCATTCCCATGTTTGAAGGAATGCATCCAAATTCTCATCACCTCCCAGCTACCTGACATGAGCAGGCATGTACATTCTCCCATCGTTCTGAGAGTCTATTTGTATGAGCAACTGTATTTGATTCACTATGCTGATCTTCTCAGGCCTACATGACAGTATGGCAGGGGGAACATTCAGTGTGATGTCTAGATGGGACTCCATCTAGAAGTTGAGACCTCGTTGTTCCTGGTACAGAATGGTTACTAGCATCTTAAATCAAATATAGTTGCCCTGTATAGCACTTTTTTAGTTTGGTAAATTGCTTTGCAAATGTTCTCATTTTATCCTCACAATTCCATGAGGTAGATGCTATTATTATCCTCATTTTACAGATAAGGAAATGGAGGCAGAGTGAGTTCTCTAGGGTCATACTGCTAGTAAATATCTGAGGTTGGACTGGAACTCAGGTCTTCTTCCTGACTCCAAGTACAACACACTGTATCCACTGTACCACTTAACTGCTAGAAGTGAAACTTCAGGATTGTTTTAATTTGCATTTGTTATGGTTAGCTGCTTGGGAGCATTCTTTAATATCTGTTAAGAGTTCAACATTCTTCATTTGAGAACCAGTTATTAACGTGCTTTGACCATTCTCTTTGAGTGAAGGCTTTTGGTTTTGTGCATTTCTATTAATTGTCTATGTATCTTCGATACCAAACCCTTGAAATTCAAGAAATCCGATGCAGAGATATTTTCCCTCATTTGGCCAACTGCCATCTTTGGACATGTGGTAAAACCTAATTCTGTCGGCTCCAGTTGTGTTTGACAGAATGTAAATTCCATGAAGGCAGGGACATGTTCTATTTGTACTTCGTCTTTATTGACCTATCTATAGATCATGACTGATGCAACATCAAGTAGTGCAAAATTTGATTTAGTACAAATTGCAAAATACCAATTGCATTGAATGAGTCAAAATTCAATTGATGTGACACATGTGAGCTAGTGGAGGGATTTTTAGCATGCCTCACACTGTCAGTTTGCACTTCCCCAAAGTTGTGTGTGGATATGTGCTGCTGTAAACCATATTACCGACTGTTAGGTTGAGTTTATGTTTTAGAAAGTCTTTAACAAAATGGGCAAAAGAAAGAATCCTGATGGAAACCCTGCTAGCACAAAAAAGAAGCTTGTTCTTATAGCAGAACAAAAATCTGATGTAATTGAATAGCATGAACACGTCACAGTAAGTCTAGGTAAGATACAGAACATTATAAAGTACACATATAATGAAACAAAAGAAAAGAAAAATAAATGAAATAAAAGAAAAAAGGCCAAGGTACATCAACTTCCTGTAGTTTGCCAACAACTGCCACGAACAGGAGCGTCGGGGGGACAGAAACGGATCTCATTCTGGCTGTCTGAAGACGACTCGTTCTCAGCAGACCAGCCTTGGAAACGAAAGCCTCTTTAAGGCAGTGACAGAAAGCGGAATTGAAGGAGAGGCTGAAGAACCTTTTGCTCCAAGTGTTGATTGAAGTGCTTAAAGAACGAAGTTCAGCTGAATGTTAAATGGTCAGAAGGGCAGCCAATGCAGACAAGGACGCAGAAGCTAAACGTTCCGATAATGTGAAGAAAGTAATTGAAGTTGGAGACACCGATCCACAAAAAACTGAGGTGGATGAAACAGGCTTATTCTGGAAGGAGGTGTCTCCCAGAACTTACATTTCTAAGACAGGAAAAAAACCCTGGATTTACATCCAACACTTTGGTTGAGAGGTAATGCAGAAGGAGATTTAAAATCCAAACCAGTGCTTGTTTATCAGTTTTGAAATCCTTGTGCTGTGAGAGGCTTCCAGTTCTTTGGCAGTGAAATAAGAAACTTTGAGCTGTTTCTGGAGACTGTTTTTGAAGTTATGCTGGTCACACTGCTGAAAAATATTGCAAGGACCACAACGTTTCATTTAAAGCATTAGTGACTTTGGATAATGCCCCAGGTCATCCAACTACACTTAGTGTTGATTAGGGGAGAATATAAGCATGCAAATTCTCCAAATGAAATGTGGAAAAAGCTCTTTACACTAATGAGTATATGTATGAAGAATTAAAAAAAGCAAAGGTAGTTCCGTCTATGCTGCTAAAATATTTTTTAAATGACAATAATGACATTTTTGCCATATCCTGTAATTTTAAAAATTTTGCCTTCTAGAACTTCTCTATTACTTTGTAATAAACATGAATTCAAAATACATTTGTCTCTGTTGTTATATTACATTAATAAAAAGATAAAAAAAACTTATTTAAAAAATTTTCATTGCATATTTCCATTGGGCTGAACCAATGAACATATTTTACACAAAACTTTGAATAGTGTGAATGTGAATAATGTGACGACTGCGTGGGATTCATTCTTTGCACTAATCGGGACCTACCTATGTTGCTAGTACGGTGAGGAGGTACTAGTATGTAGTGGGCACTTAAGAAATGCCTGTTCATACAAAGCAACCATTACATTCACTTCAACAACGGGGGTCATCTGGTTAAACGTGTAAGCACTGATCCCATTGCTAGAAAATATACTGTTAGCTTTGTCACCGGTTGAACATCCATAGGAGTGTAGCTTGGAAACTGGAAGGGACCTCAGAGGACATGTAGCACAACCACTCCTTTTGTACAGATGAGGAAAGGAAGCCCAAACAAGTCAAGAAACTTGTCCACGGTCACAAATGGAATACATGGGCCGAGCCATGATTGGAGCCTGGGTCCTCACGCTCCAAATCTAGCATCCTTCCCACACTACCACATTACCTACCTTTCTTATTAAGTCACGGATTCCCTATAGTTCAAGTATTATGCAAGAAAGAGTTAATTCTATGTTCAGCACCTCTATCTCCCTTTGGAAAGACCCCTGACCCTCATGTAGTTACAAACACACACCATCGTTCTTAGCAGAGTCTAAGTACCTGCATCATCACTGCATTCGTTTAATTCCAGTGGATTATCATTACATGGCACATGGGCTCTTCCTAGAGCCCATTGGGCTGAATTTCCATCACTACTATTTTAATCTTTCTCATCAAGGAGTCTGCTTCTTTTGCTTATAGGCAACAGTGCTTGCTACGTAGAGAAATATTCATCTCATATATCATATGCTTTTGCAACTGTTGAGTAATTTGGGTCACTGGGTGAGTATCTATAGTGAAACTGGTCCAGCACTATTAGAATGCTATCTTTTTTCCTACCTCCTTTCAGAAATTTAAAAAAAAAAAGTGTATACACCAAAGTTCCAAAGGCTTGATGGTACTTTGAAAGTCAATTGAATAATCTGGTTGCATATTCCTTTAAAGACTGAGCACAAAACCTAGCCTTTCATCATAAACATCAGTTGTTTTTTGGGCTAGTAGGATGCTTGCATCAGTTTAGAGTTCTCGCTTGACCCAAGTATTAACACTCCCCCCCCCCAATGTCATCTAGTGCTTTCATAGTGATAGAGAAAAATGCCTTCAGTAGCACCAACTGTTACTTGGCACTTAGGTCCTGGTACCTTACTGCATTGCATAGTTCCAACATTTTCCATTTGCACAAAAGGTGTCCTCTATAAGAACAGGTATTGGGTCCACAGGATTCCATTCCTAGCTTTGGAACTTGCAACACTTTTCATGGAACCCCATCATACGGTTGCTTCCACCAATATGTCATCCAAGGAAAACTCAAGTCAAGGAGAATTAGTTGTTCAGTTTCATTCATATCCAACTCTTTGTGACCCCATTTTGGGTTTTCTTGGCAAAGATACTAAGGCAAACAGGATGAAGTGACTTGCCCAGGGTCACTCAGCTAGTAAGTAAGTCTAGGCCTTTTCACATTCATTACATTTAAAGGGTTTCACTCCAGAATGAGTTCTCTCATGCCCAATAAGGGACTGCCTCTCATTGAATTCAAGTCTTCCAGACTCCAATCTACCCACTGCACCACCTACCTACTAGAATTAGTACACTTCAACAAAACACACAATTAAAGCATGTTGTCTGGAGGAAAACTCAGAATCTCAGCCTCACTGAGTGAGTGCTTAGTGAATTCCTTATTTATTGATTCAATGGATTTTAGGTCAACATGAGTCTGATGGTGGCTAATAAGGGCTTTCCCACCTTTATTACATTAAAAGGGCATCATTCCAGAATGAGTTCTCTGGTAGTAACCCTTCCTGTTGAAGTCTTTCCCACATTCACTGGATTAAAAGGAGTTCTCTCCAGTTTGAGTAATAAGGCATCTCTAGGATCTGAGGGTTTTTCCATTCATTACATTTAAAGTTTCCCTCTAGCATGAGTCCTATTATGCCTACTAAGGGTCCACCTCTCACTGGTGGCTTCTCCACTCTTATTACATTCACTCCAGTATGACTTATATGGTGTCTAATAATGGTCTGTTTCATGGAAAGCTTTCCCACATTTGTTGCATTCAAGTGGTTTCACTACAGTATGAGGTTCTCTGATGATAAATAAGGCCTCTTGTATGGCTGAAGACATCCCCACATTAAACAGATTTCACCCCAATATGAGCTCTGATGGCTTTTAAGGTATTCCTTATGCCTGAAGGCTTTTTTCCTACATCCCTTATATTCGAAGGGCTACATTCCAGTATGAGTTCTCTGATGTCTATTGAGGCTTCCTCTTTGGCTGAAGGCTTTCCCACATTCATTACATTCAAAGGCTCTTGCTCCAGTATGAATTGTCTGATGACTAATAAGGTGTCCTTTCTGACTAAAAGATTTCCCACATTCATTGCATTCAAAGGGTTTCCCTACGGTATGAATTCTCTGATGTCTTATAAGGTTCTGGCTGGCACTGAAGGCTTTCCCACATTCATTACATTCAAAGGGCTTCCCCCCAGTATGAATTCTCTGATGTCTAATAAGATTCTGCCTGTCATTGAAGGCTCTTCCACATTCATTACATTCAAAGGGTTTGACTCCAGTATGAGTCCTCAGATGTCTAATAAGATTCTGTCTGTCATTGAAGGCTTTCCCACATTCATTGCACTTAAAGGGTTTGACTCCAGTATGGGTTCTCTGATGTCTAATAAGGGACTGCCTGTCATTGAAAGCTTTCCCACATTCATTACATTTAAAGGGTTTCACTCCAGTGTGGGTTCTCTGATGGATAATAAAGTGTCCCTTCTGACTAAAGGCTTTCCCACATTCATTACATTCAAAGGGTTTCACTCCAGTATGAGTTCTCTGATGGCTTTTAAGACAATCCTTCCTCATAAAAGCTTTTTCACATTCATTACATTCAAAGGGTTTGACACCAGTATGAGTTCTCTCATGTCTAATAAGGGTCTGCCTCTCATTGAAGGCTTTCCCACATACATTACATTCAAAAGGCTTCACTCCGGTATGAATTTTCTGGTGTCTAATAAGGTTCCGACTATCATTGAAGGCTTTTCCACATTCGTTACATTCAAAGGGTTTCACTCCAATATGAGTTCTCTGATGGCTTTTAAGGTAATGCTTTCGTCTGAAGCCTTTCCCACATTCATTACATTCAAAGGGTTTGATCCCTGTATGAGTTCCCTGATGGCTAATGAGGTTTTCCCTCCAGCCAAAGGCCTTTTCACATTCATTACATTTAAAGGGTTTCACTCCAGAATGAGTTCTCTCATGCCTAATAAGGGTCTGCCTCTCATTAAAAGCTTTCCCACACTCATTACATTCAAAGGGTTTCACTCCGCTATGAATTTTCTGGTGTCTAATTAGGTTCCGACTGTCATTGAAGGCTTTTCCACATTCATTACATTCAAAGGGTTTCACTCCAGTATGAATTCTCTGATGGCTTTTAAGGTAATGCTTTCGTCTGAAGCCTTTCCCACATTCATCACATTCAAAGAGTTTGTCTCTAGTATGAACACTCTGATGTTCAGTAAGATTTGCTCTTTTGTCGAAGGCTTTTTCACAGTCATTATATTCATACAGTTTTTCACTAGCACAGGTTCTATGACATTTGATGAGGTCTGAGCGGTAACTGAATGTCTTCCTGTCTGTGTTATGCATGTTAAGTTTTTTCCCTGAGGCAACTGCATTACACTGAATTCTGTCTGAAAACTGTCTGCAGTTCTTTCCAAGTGTATTATGTTTATGAAGACTTTTTCCTATGGCAGCTCTCCATTGTGGAAAAAAGATTGGCCCCACACTAAAATGTCTCACAAAGGAATTACAATCAAGAACATTTGCTTTATACAATGTTCCTTTGTGGGTGACTGTTACTTCCTGGGACTCTCCTTCCTGGGGGCCCTTCTGGCTCTCAAGGCTGGCCTCGCATTCCCCAGATTCTCCTATGTTGAGATACCAGGGATTGTCCTGTGGTCCTTTTTCCTTGGTCAAAGCATCCAGGCGAGTGTCCTCAGTCAGAATTGAGTCCTCATTTTCATACCTACTCTCCTGATTAAAAGAATCTGAAAGAAATAAAAATGGGTCAGTAGTCATACATAGAATTCTATCACACAGACATTCGCACATTCTTTTGGTCTAGGTTGAGAGCATTAATGATTTAGTGAATTTCCTCAAATAACTCCAATCTCTTTTCTAGAATAGACGGACAATTTATGGTGTCACCAACCACCTATTATTATTCCTGTCTGTCCACAGTCCCTTTAACATTGCCTCTTTTCAACATTTTTAGTATCTTTACCAATTGCCGGGTGTGAGGTGGAACTTTATAGATTTCTCTTATTAGTGACTAGGAGTTTTTTTTTTGGTAAGGCTGTCAATCGTTTGCATTTTCAGCAAACTAGAAATCACTTGACTGCTATTGGGAAATGGTTTTTTGTTTTATATATTTGTGTCCATTCCCTATATATCCATGATATGAGATTTTTGTCAGAGGAGCTTATACTCATTTTCCTTAGTGAGAATCTCTTCTTTCCCAGTTGTGTTAATTTCACGTTTTTTTCCCCCTAAAAAGTCTTTTAATTTTATATAATCCAAATTGGCTCTCATATTTTATGATGTCCTCTACTGCTTAAAAATTACTCCCCTAAAAACTTGTTGGTACTAGTTAAAAACAGAAAAGTTTGTACATGGGATAGACTAGATAGCACAGATGAGAAATAAGTGAATTCAACAAACACAGTGTCCCATAATCCAATAGCATATATTCCTTAAGGACTTATTTGAGAAAAACTTCTAGGAAGTCTGGAAAGAAGTTTGGCAGATATGAGGTTTAGACAAACATCTTACACCACATACCATAATTAGGTACAAATGGATACAGGAGGATAATAAAAAGATAAGTGACCTCGATATTACAGATTAGATCATAAAAGATTTGGAAGAGAACTAGATCAGGTAAGTTTTATTAACTATGGCTAGGAAGAGAATTCTTAACCAAAGATGATTAGAAAAGTTAAACTAGATCATTTCGATTTCAAGAAATTGAAAGGCTTTTACACTGACTAAAATCAACAAAATATGGGGGCAGTTAGGTGGCACAGTGGATACAGCATCAGCCCTGGAGTCAGGAGGACCTGAGTTCAAATCCAGCCTCAGACACATAACAATCACTAGGTTAGGTGTGTGACTCTGGGCAAGTCACTTAACCCCAACTGCCTCACCCCCCCCCCCAAAAAAAATCAACAAAATATAAGAAGGAAAACAGTCAACTTTGGGAAAAACCCTTTGCACTAAATATTTCTGATAAGGGCTTGATATCCAGTATATGGAGAACTAACAAACAAATATTTAATGCCAACAATCATTCCACAATGGATAAGCAGTCAAAAGATATGAAGATTGTAAACTATTAACAATCATGAAAGACTTCTCCAAATCACTAATGTCAATTCAGAACAATTCTGAGGCTTCACCTCACACTCAGTAAACTGGCAAAGATAACAAAATATGAGAATGATCAATGCTGGAAAAGTTGTGAAATTTCACGTACACTAATGCACATGGTGGAGATGAAAACTCTGAGGAACAATTCTCAATTATGCTAAGAAAAGCAACTACAAAGTCCGTCTTAGAGATCTCACTAAGCAGACATGCCAAGGAGGTCAAAGATGGAGAAAAAGGTCTAATACACACCAAACTCTTTGTAGAAGTAATTTTTGTAGGGGAGAAAAGTAAAATGCCCAAACAAATAGCAGTACATAAACTTCACAAAGTAAAACTTTGCTTTCTAAAATGAATATAAAGATGCAAGGTAAAGAAAGTAGACTTTGGAAAACACTATACACAATGACTACAAGGTAAAAGGAAAGAATGAAAATCAAAACTGCATCAGTTGTATAATTATAACAAGCGAGCTTGGCCCTGGAAAAAGAACTCTGTCTTTGCACAGTTTGGGGACCGCAGAGGTGGAATACGGCAGACACTGTTTGCACTGGCTATCCTCATAGTTCGTGTCTGAGACGAGAAGGACGTGAGACACAGCACCCCAAATAGTAAAAAAGGCTACGGAGAGTAGAGGAAGGCCGTTTGGAAGGAGAAAGAATTGTAGCGGAGGGCAGCTCCCCCTCCATGGAACGTTCCTGGTGGTTGGCCAGGCAGAGCCCGTCGAGCTTGCTTGTTTGTACCCAGGGGGCCAGGAAGCTATGGCCGTGGCCAGGGCCTTCAGTCCCCTATCCAATTAGGTCTTGATGCCAGCGTCAATAACTTCCAAGGAAAATCTAGTCTAGTCTAACTAGGGGAAGGCCTTAGGGAAGACCCTGCCAGGGTTGCTGTGAAGATCAAATCACCTACTATTGATAAACTGCTTTGCAAACCTTAAAGTGCTGTATAAATGCTGGCTGCCACCACCGCCGCCGCCACTGGTAAATCACCCGCCTGTTTGTCACTCACTCACCTGGGTAAGGGCCACTCGGGAATCCTCCCTCAGGCGTCCACGGCCCATCTTTCTCCAACTGGGAGATGACATCTGGTTTGCAAACTGAAAGCCCTGATCACAGAGAGAGAAATGAGAGAGGATTGGGGACAGAGGGCCACCTCGGAGTTCAGTCTTAGCCTTTTCTTCTTCAGGGAAAAAGGGACACTATGACGGGGCAGAGGATGGAAAAGAAGACCCCCGAGCTCCCTCATCCAAAGCGGATGGATCACTAGTCTGGTTGGGACGTGGAAGGACAATGAACCCCTCTGAGCCAACGCCTCTCAGCAGGCAGGCCCTCTTCACGTCTCCAGGTTCTGTCGTGCGGCTTCATCTAGGGAAGGGAGTCTTTCCTTTCGCTTGAAGGAAGCTAGAGCCCCGGAGCCGTACCAAAAAAAAAAAAAAACACTAAGGGATTTCTACTCGTATAAAACAGAGACTTTGCACCCTGGAAAGGGGACAGAAAACTCCAAAGGCTCTCATGGGATTTTGACTGCTGCCCCGCCCACCCTAGTTATAGCATTGGTGAGCATCGCAGCACCCTCAGCAAAGACTCAGGGCAGCCCTTCGGACCCTGAGGTGGTAGAAGGGAGGCTGCAAATACACCCCAGCAGACAGACGGTGAGTCACAGGGGCGGCTGTCCTTACCCAAAGACACCAGGTTCTTATAGTTCTCCAGCATCACGTCCCTGTACAGGGCCCTCTGGGCCGGGCTCAGGCGTCTCCACTCCTCGGAGGAGAAGTCCACGGCCACATCTCTGAAGGTCACCGGGTGCTGAAACGTCAAACCCAACCCTGCTCAGCCGGGGACCGTGCCTCTCAGGGTCCCAGGGGGATGCGTGGTGTTGGCAGGGCATGTAAGGAGGGGTTAAAGCATTGCCAGTGTTGAGTATTGCCTGATAACTGTTTGACCGCTGACCTTTACAGGAGAGAATTATGGGAGAAGAATCAAGAGAAGAGAGGAGGCCCGGGACAGACGAAAAAGGCAATTGTGAAGCTGACTTGGAGATAAGGACCTGAAGAGAGGAACACTAGGAGAAGGAAAAGGAGATAATTGATGAAGGGGGATAAAGAGGAAAAGGAAAATAAATAAAGGGCAAGTGAAACACATGGGTGAAACCAGAGGGCCATCTGTCACGGGAGAGGGAAGCTGGGGGTGGCCCCTAGTTTATCAAGCTTCTGAGCAGGAGGTGCTCTGGAGGTGAGACGCAAACCTTCAGAGAGATCCAAACCCAGGCTGAGAGGGACCTCCATCAGGAAGGGCAGCAGGCAAAATGCCGCCGTGACATGAACTGAATCTGGTCATGTTGGTATTCTGATGCAGCCAGGTGCATGCCACCTACGTTCCGAGAGTGGGGATGGCCTTCCTCCTACAGAGAAGGAGAAGAAGAAAGACCTTGAGAAATCTCTCTCCAGATACTCGGCCAGAGGGACAGAGAACTGTCCCTGAAAGGAATGGCATCAAAGGGGAATAAAAGGACCCCAAGTGGCCATGGGGAGAAAGGTGGAGAGGGGAGGGTGTCCCAAAGAAGAGGAGATGAAGGAGAAGGATGAATGTGCACCTGGAAATGAGAAACACGTTGGAAGCTCCGCCTGAGGTGGCTTGTCTGGGAGAGGTCATCCACAGAGTGTCAGAAGAAGAAGAGAAGCATCGTAGGGCGTGTGTGTGCGCGCGTGTGGGCAACTCGCCGCTCAGAGGTGGCCCGATAACTGAAGAGTGAGGCCTTGGCATCAAACACAAACCAGGGAACTTGCAAGACCTAACAAGAGGGATGCCCACTCTACTCCTAGTGACGTCCTTGGGCACAAGGGATTCTCCAGGAGGAGACGCAAAAGTGGTGCAGGTCTCAGCCCAGTCTAGAGCAAAGGACTGAAGACAACAGGGGCACAGGCGCGGCTCTCCTCACTCCTGCCCGCTCAAAGCCTGGGATTGAGAAGACAGAAACAGATTTGGACAATTATAGCTCTCTAGGAAGATGGCGCATGCGAGTGGGGCCTTGGCTTAAAGGGATGAGGTTGGTGTACCTTGCAATAACTGGTATGAGTGTAGTTATCAGTTTATGGTAAAGATAAAGACGTCAGAGGTCACAGAGAAGCCAAACTCTTACACAAAAAGCCCCCCAAAGTATCAGAAAATTGTCCAAGAAAAGATAGAGAAATCTGGAAAGACTCTACACTAAGCCTTCCACCTAGACCAGTAATACCAAAAGAGGGCCAGAAGAGGATGGGGAAAGGGTACAGGGATTGAACCAAAGGGAGCCAGTGTGATCTCCAATAACTGACCAGAAACCAGCAGAGTCAGGGAGAGAAGAAGAACCAGGGCAAACTTTGGCAAAGGTAACCAAGGCCGGCCAGGACTGTGAACACCAGCTCCAATAACCTGGTACCTGAAGCTGGATGGCGGCCCCTCTAGGTAAATATTCATGGAGACTAGACCTGGCCGTGTCCTCCTCTGAGCCACACAGGAGATAGGTCAACTCACCACCCAGGCACTAGCACTGGGAAGGCTGTGCAAAGAGCCCAGGGACCATCAGGACCGCTGAGATCCTCCAGAGGCCTACAGCAGCAGGCAGACCGACTCCTGACAGAGGAGCTTGTAAAGAAAATGGGGCCACCTGAAGTCTGAACCCACAGTGGACCATCTGGAGATTAAGACATACATGAGGGGTTTGAGATGGTCCAATATCGGCCGTCCTCTCCATATCAGCAGTGGTGGCATCCATACTTCAGGGGAGACTGCATCGAACCAAGCCTTCTCAACCCATCTCAGAGTGCCAGAGGCTACTGGCCAGAACACAAATCCCATCCGAGAAGGGAGGCGGCTTAGCAATCAAAAGAACATGCCCAACACAACGAAATATCAGAGGCTGAGAAAAGTCTGAGAAGTGATCACAGAAGAGACAGCCCCCACAACAGCCACAAGAAGAGAAAAAGTCATGCATGGCCACAGGGATTCCTGGAGTGGCTGGAAGAAACTGAACCAGGGATAAAAAAGGAAATCACAAACGAAATGAGAGATTGGAAAGAAAAAGTGGAAAGGAAAATAAATGGCATAAAAGGAAGGCGGACAGCCTTACCCCAAGGAGTCAATGCCCTGAGAAATAGAGCAACAGAATGGAAGGCCCCCACGAGGCGATAAGTATCATGAGGATAAAGCTAAAAGACTGAAAAACAAAATACAAGAAAAGGTAAGGTACCTACCATGAAAAGCAAGGCCCTGAAAAATAGGGAGGGAGAGGGCGTTTAAGAATCACCAAACTCGACAAGATAAATGGTCTCAATAGATAAAAGAGTGTGAACAGTTTCCCTTTTTTAAATGTAGTATTTTTCTTTTTCTTTCTTTTTATTTGTAAATAGTATTTTATTTTTTTTTCCAATTACATGTAATGATAGTTTTCAACATTCATTTCTTACAAGATTTTGAGTTCTAAATTTTTCTCCCTCTTTCCCATCTCCCTTCCCCAAGACAGCAAGCAATCTGATATAGGTTATACAAGTGCAATCATGTTAAAACATATTTCCACATTAGTCATGTTGTGAAAGAAAAAAAGCAGAACAAAAGGGAAAAAAGTGAAAATAGTATGCTCCTATCTGCATTCAGACTCCATGGTTCTTTCTCCGGATGTGGATAGCATTTTCCATCGTGAGTCTTTTGGAGATGTCTTCGATCCTTGTATTGCTCAGAAGAGCCAAATCTATCACGGTTGATCATCGCACAACATGCCTGTTACTGTGTACAACATTCTCCTGGTTCTGCTCACTTCCCTCAGCATCAGACCATACAAGTCTTTCCAGGTTTTTCTGAAGTCTGCCTGTTCATCATTTCTTATAGCACAATAATATTCCATTACATCATATACCACAACTTGTTCAGCCATTCCCCAATGGATGGGCATCCCCTCAATTTCTAATTCTTAGCCACCACAAAAAGAGCTGCTAAAATGTTTTTGTACATGTGGGTCCTTTTCCCATTTGTATGATCTCTTTCAGATACAGACCTAATAGTGGTATTGCTGGATCAAAGGGTATGCACAGTTTTATGGCCCTCTGAGCATAGTTCCAACTTGCTCTCCAGAATGGCCGATTCAGTTCACAACTCCAGCAACAATGCTTTAGTGTCCCAATTATCCCACATATTCTCCAACATTTATCATTTTCCTTTTCTGTCATATTAGCCAATCTGATAGGTGTGAGGCGGAACCTTAGAGTTGATTTGATTTGCATTTCTCTAATCAATAGTGATTTAAAGCATTTTTTCATGTGACTATGGATAACTTTAATTTCATCTGAAAACTTCCTATTCATATCCTTTGATCGTTTATCAATTGGGGAATGACTTGTGTTCTTATAAATTGGATTCAGTTCTCTATATATTTATGAGAAATAAGACCTATATCAGAAACACTGGCTGTAAAAATTCTTTCCCAGTTTTCTGCTTTCCTTCTGATATTGGTTACACTGATTTCGTTTCTGCAAAAAATTTTTAATTTAATGTAATCAAAATTATCCTAAAATAATTTTTTTCCATTATCAAACATTTATTTTTTCTCTTGAGGTATCAGATGTACAAAAATACTTGTAGCGGCTGTCTCCTTAGTAGCCCAAAACTGGAAAGAAAGGAGTGCTGTCTTGTTGGGGAATGACAAAACAGACGACGACACATGAATATAATGGATTTGGGGGATTTTAAAAAAATAACAAAACGAACAGTTTGAGAGGAAACGGGGAAGCCCTCCACGAAGTGATGGGAGTGAAACGAGCAGAACTAAGAGTGATTTAAACAACCGCACAAACATTATAAAGGAAAACAACTTGGAGGGACTTTAAAGCTCTGGTCAATCAAGACCATGAGAAGCCACGGTTCCGGACGGAGGACGAAGCATGCTACCCACCTGCTGCTGGAGAGGTCCTGAGCCAGCTACTCTCAGTCACGGCCAAAGGGAGAGTTTGTTTGGTTGAACTATGAGCATTTATCATGAGGGTTTTCTTTTTCTTTTTAATTCTTCAATTGGAGTAAGAAGTTGGAGGGGGTGATAATAAATTCTTGTTAGGAAAAAAGAAACAGAATTGACCAGACTCCCGGAATACCACGGCCAAACCAAAAACCTGGAAACCACTCACTTGACCAGTCAGTGAGCAGTCATGAAGCGCTGGCTTTGGAAGCCTGCAAGCTCAGGGGTCAGCAGCAGGGTGATCTGGCGGCCCCCAAAGCTAATGCCCCATTGGGATGCATGGAGAGGCCCAGTGTCCAGGAATAAGGCGGCGGCGGTCCCTTTGTATTCTCCCTAAGTAGACCACAGATCATGGAGTGCTGTGTTCAGTCCTGAGACAATGACAAACTAGAGTGTCCAGAGGAAAGTAGCCAGGATGCCGAAGGGCCTTGAGGCTGTGGCACACAAGCGTCCTTCGAAAGGAATGAGGATGTATGCTCTGCTGGGGGCCACGACAGCCACATTCAAGGCCTCGAAGGGCTGTCTCATGGAAGAAAGATCAAATGTGTTCTCTGAGTTGCTAAGGGGAAGATTTATTCCTGATGTTGGGAAAAGCTTCGTTAACAACCATGTGCCTCCGAAGTCTCAGGAGGCAGGGGATTACCCTTCAATGAAGGTCATCAAGCAGAGGCTGGATAAAGACTGGTCCAAAGTGTAACAGTGGTTCTGCCTTTCCTGTTCTGAGCTGGGCTAGGTGCCCCGGAGGTTCCTTTCAAGGTGAAACTTTGTGAGTCTATGGATCTTACTCTTGGCTTCATTTTGTGCTAGCCTCTCTACCATGATGATAAGGTTGCTACTGACTAAATTCATATCTGAAAATCATCCCTGAAAATGGGCCCAAGAAAACAATCCAAGGATATAGAGTCCCCAGACTGAATGTCAGTCAGAGTCAGAATTCAAAGAGATCTGAGCTAGGATGAAATTTCATCAGGCTAAATGTAAAGTCTGACATGTGGGTTCAAAAAAATCAGCTGCAGAGGTATGAAGAAGGGGAATCACGACTCCAAAGTCCCGTGAGTTTCCAATCATCCGCCAGAGTGGCAGAGATATTCTCAGAGAGAATGACGGAGGCCCGGATGTGCAGAGGTGAGGCTGTTCAAGAGAAGGGAAAGGAAAACCGTAACTCACCTGGAACCTGGCTGTCAGCAGCCCAGAGGTCATTCCTTCCTTTATGCTCCTACCCTGGGAAGGGCATGGTCTTGAGAAGTCCAGGCTGTGAGACGAGAACAATTGTGAAGGACATTCGTCAGACACTGATGCTCCCAAACCTGGTCCTGACCATGCCCTACACTGCAGCGCCTGTGAGCCCTCCTGCCACGTCGACCATCGGGGCCACGTCACCCCTCTGGCAGCTCTGCCCACCTCTCCCGGGGCTGCCCAGCGTTTCTGACGAATGTCATCAGGGGCAGCTAGGTGACACAGTGGATAGAGCACTGGCCCTGGAGTCAGGACGACCCGAGTTCAAATCCAGGCTCAGACACATAACACTTACTAGCTTTGTGGCTGTGGGCAAGTCACTTAACCCCAACTGCCTCACCAAAAAAAAAAAAAAAGAATGTCATCAAACTGTGATTTGTTTGGGCCCGTTACACATCCATGCTACCGTCACCTGGCAAGGCTTTTCTGCTTCACTGTTAGCTCTTTGTCATAGCCTCCAAGCTACCAAGCCAAAATTCTCACCCTTAACCACCTTACGAGATGACCTTGCCTCTGACTCTGTGATCAAGGCTGACGCCATCCAGTGTGAGCTGCCTCAGTTTCCCTCTGTGTCTTCCCTTCCATTCCCTTCTTGTCTCCCTGTCCCACCCCAAAAGGAGAGGTAGTATCCCTCCCTCCTACTCAGGTCACCACCTCCTGGACTTGGGCCCATACCATTTCTATCACTGCTTCTGAACCAAGAACATTCATCGATTTGTTGTAGGAACACAGCTGGGACAACATACACCAGAAGACACTCCCAATCCCTAGATCATCTCAAGAGACCAGAACAACGGGCCCAATACTGTGAAATCGAATGTAATAGGGATAGACAGAAAAGTCCATATTTTGTTTAAAATCTCAACTCCACACATCCTGGACCGTGATGCATATGGAGACAACGGTTCCTACAGAAAGCACTCCAGTATTCTTGTGGATGGCAGGGTCAGCATGTGTCCAGAGAGTGACACAGCGGCTGAAACAGCTCATGGCATCATGGGTTTGATGGAGAAGCTGAGAATGGCATCAAGGGGCCCCCCAGAGATCAGTTTGGCTGGGGGAGGGGGGTACAAGAGCTCCGTGTCCCCATGAGGCTGGTAGAGCATTTAGTATGAGCTTACTATGTGCCAGGAATCGTGCTTAGCGCTGGGGATACAAAGAAAGGGAAAAACACGGTCCCTGCCCTCAAGGAGCTCCCATTCTAATGAGGAAGGCCACATGCAAACAAACACGTACATACACGAAATGTGATGTGTAAATGGAAGGTAGTCTCAGAGGGAGCACGCTAACAAATGAGGAGAAAAGGTCTCTGATGAAGGAGGGATCTGGACCGAGTCTTGAAGGAGGGAAGGCAGGAGGGATGAGGAATGGCTAGAAAAGGGACAAGGGAGGAGATAAAGGGTGGATGGAAGAAGAGTGAGCAGGCTGGTCCAGCCCAGGCCCAGAGGAAGAGGAGGAATTGTGGAAAGGTGGGAAGGGGCTCCCGGGGCTAAGCTGAGGATTTTCCATTCGCTTGTCCTGGGTCGGCCTGACTTCTACTGGAGCGGGTCCCAATTCCCAAAGGGTGCTGCCCTCTCACACCTCTCACCTTGGTCTTTTTGGGCATGGCCCTGGGGGGTAGGGGAGGAAGAAAAGGAATAAACATTTTCATCGCACTCTGTGCCAGGCATTGCACTAAGCACTTATAAATACGACCTCATCTTCACAAAGACCCTGGGAGGGAGGTGCCGGCGCTATTTCCATTCTGCCCTTGGGGGGAAATGTCAATCTGGGGCCAGGCCCTCCAGACCCCCAGCAGGGGAAAGTAGCTGTGGTGACACAGCTGGGCCACGGCAGCCACGGCCAAGGGAAAGCTACTGGTGCCGAAGAGAGGACGGAGGCAGCGGGACGGGCCGAGAGGCTTCCGCTGCGTACTCTAATATGGGGGCACAGAAATAGCCAGAGAGTACAGGTGTGGCTACTATTTTTTCTTTGGCAGCTCTTCATGGATTCAAGCTACATGGCCCAGATGAACTGTATTCTGGGGGTGCCGAAAGAATCAACAGAATGGCTGCAAAGAGCTCCTGTCGGTGATATCTGAAAGACCCTGAAAAAAGGGAGAGGGTTCTCAAGGCCGGAGAGGGCCGAGTGTTGGCCCCGTTTTCGAAAAAAAGAAAGGAGAACAAAATCTTCGGTCCAAAGGCCAGTGAGCTTGACTTCAACCCCTGGGCCAACACTCAGAAGGATCACTGGGGAGACGGTTGGTGAAAATCCACAAGGGGAGCCAGCCTGGCTCTTGGTATCAAGCACAGGTCATGCTTTTTGATGGTGTTACAAACTTGGTGGATGAGGGGAATGCTGTGGGCACAGTTGAACTAGATTTTAATCAAGGATTTGATAAAAACATCTGGTACTGCTCCTGGGCAGAAGATGGTGTGATCTGGAAGATCCAACAGCACGCTCAGAGAAGGCCAGACTCAAGGAGTGTTGTTAATGGTCAATGCTGAAGTGGCAGGGGGTCTCCAGTGGAATGCCCCAGGGATTTGTGCTGGACTCAGGGCTGTTTCACACTTTTAAAAGTGATTTGGATAAAGGTGGTGCTGGCCTGCTCATCAAATATGTGCACGATAAAAAGCTGGGGAGAAAAACTAATGCAGAAACAAAGGAGCGTAGATGGATACTAGGATGGACCTAATTAAGGTGAGATCTGACAGGTACATGCGTCAGGTCTTGTCGGGGATGAAAGAAGCCCAGTTTCCCAAGGAGAAGATGGTTAGACAGCAGGACTCAGCAGTGTGCTGGGACCACCAGAAGTCCCACGGGGGTTCCTGGGCAGCATGCGCAGGAAACAGAGCTTCTAGGAATGGGAACGTGATAGTCCTACTGTCCTCAGACCTCATCAGGAATACTGGGTCCACTCTGAACTGGAGAGCGTCCAGAGGAGGGAAGTCAGGATGTTGGAGGGCCTTGAACTGATGCCACAGGAAGGGAGGGTGAAAGAACTGGGCACGTTTAGCCTGGAGCTGTGTACCATCTAGAATGCTATGTTCCCTACCCCGAAAAATCCCTCACGCCATCCCGGCCAGCTGCCAGCTATCGTTCCCACTCTCTCCTCCCTTTGGTGACGAAACTCCTAGAGAAGGGGGTCTACACTAGGGCCTCCACCTTCCTCTCCTCTCCCTCTTCTCTGCCTCCACCCAAATTGCTCTCCAAAGTCACCAATGGTCTCTCAGCTGCCAAATCCAAGGGCCTTCATTCAATCCTCTTTCTCCCTGGCCCCTCTGCAGCCTTGGACACTGCCGGTCACTCTCTCCTCGACATTCTCCTCAACGCCCCTCTCTCCTGGTTCTCCTCCTGCCCATCTGACTCTTCCTTCCCTGTCTCCTTAGCTGGATATTCGTCCAGGTTCTCACCGCTCACCACCGGTGTCCCCCAGGGGCCTTCTCTTTATACTCCTTCACTTGGTGATCTCCTCAGCTCCCATGGATTCAATCATCACCTCTACACAGATAATTCTGATTCTCGTGTCCAGCCAGAATCTCTCTCCTGACCTCTAGTCTCGCATCTCCAACTCCTTTTTAAATATCTCAAACTGGATATCTCTTGGACATCTTTAACTCAACATGCCTAACACTGAACTTGTTATCTTTCCCCCAAACCATCCCCTCTTCCTAACTTCTCTATTACCATTTGAGGACACTGCTCTCCTCCTGGGCACCCAGGCTCCCAACCTAGCTGTCAGCCTCGACTCCTCATTGCCTCTCAGCCCCCCGTGGCCGATACGGTGCCAAGGCCTGTCTTTTGGTCTCCCGGACTCCAGTCCATCCTCCGCTCAGCTTTCTAATTGTTCTTCCTAAAGCACAGATCTGACCACGGCATTCAAAGCCCATCATGACCTGGCTCCTTGCCACCTTTCCAGTCTTCTTACACCTTCTTCAACTTCCTCATTTTACTTTACAGATGAGCAAACTGAGGCCAGGGAGGTCAAGTGACTTGTGCCAGATCACAGGAGGAGTCAGTGTTAGTGGTGAGATTTGAACACAGGTCCAGGGCTCTTTTCCCCACTGTCACTGTGCAGAAGGCTTGCTAAGACCCCAGAGTCAGTACCTGCCAGGATGAAGGAGACAAGCGCCCCAGACCTGGGCCATGAGGCTGGTGGTCAAAGGGCCAGGGAAGACAGATGCAGTGGACACTGTCACAGGCTGTCATAGCAGACAGTAGGGCCTCAAACAGTTCTTAAAGGCTCCCCCCAGACAGCCCTGAAGGGCACACAAGGCAAACTGCATATACATGAATCAGATCCTGCAGAGAGTGAGGTTATTTCAGGAAAAGCCAAGGAAGAAGAGAGAAATGGATGACCAAGAAAATGACAATGACAGGCTCAGGAACATCCTTTCAAGGATGAGTCACAGAGACAGAGCCAGAGATCCCCCCGGGCACCCACAGAGGACAACTGGAGGTCTGTCACAACCGTTAGAGCCTGAAGGGCAAAGGCTCAAGGGCCCAGACTCTGGGACACAGAGAATGTGGACAAGGAGTTTTCATGTGCATTGTGGTGGTATGGAGGTTAGAGTCAGGGGTTAGAACACTGGGCCTGCAGTTAAGAAGACCTGAGTTCAAATCTGGCCTAACATACTTACTAGCTGTGTTATCCCGGGCAAGTCACTTCACCTCTGTCTTGTCTCAGTTTCCTCAACTGTAAAATAGGGATAATTATAGCACCTACCTCCCAGGGTTGTTGTGAGGATCAAATAGGATAAACCTGTAAAAAGCTTAGTACAGTGCCCAGCACATAGCAGGCGCTGTATAAATGTTGGTTATGCTGATGACAACGGACGGCATCCCAGAAAACAAAGCCCGCGAGGAAAAGGGAACCATGAGGAGGACCCCAGAACTCCAGGGCCGCCTTCTCACAAACATGCAGAGAGCGGGTGTGTCTCCCATCCTTTTTAAAGAGAGGGGCAAGGGGGGCAAAGGGGCCCCACCACTCCCAGGACCAGGGACAAAGGGCATCAGTGGCCCTGCAGGCAGAGCAAATTTCAAGAGACGGGGCTGAGAGCCCACAGTCTGCTTCTTGGCACCTGAATGTTTGACAAGCACGTCACCTGTGCCTTCCTCAAATTAGGACTTCAAGGCTGTACCCGAATTTCCCTGGTATAGGGAAATCCCGGTGAGGAAATGCCCTCTACCAGTGCGGGTCTGCACCTCCTCTCTGACTTAGATTTTTAGAAAGCAACCCAGAACACTTGAGAGTTTAACGCAGTTACCTAAGTCACAAAGCTAGTGTGGGGCAGCCAGGAGGCACACTGGAGAGCATGGGACCTTGAGTTAGGAAGAGCTGACTTTGAATCCGGCCTCAGGCATTTATTCCTGTGTGACCCTGGGCAAGTCACTTAATCTGTTTGCCTCAGTTTACTCATCTTTAAGATGGAGATAATAATAGCACTCATATTGAAGGGTTGTTGTGGAGGTAAAAATAACATATCTGTAAACCTTAAAAATAAATGCTGCCTATTTGTAATAATAATAACGATGATGATAATAATAACTATGGCTAGTAAATAATGTTATTATAAATTTAATATGATGATATTAGAATTTATAATTACATGTCACATATAATGCAATTTATTATTATTACTACAGTATCCACTTAGGGTATTCAGTATGTTGTCCAGTCATTTCAGTCGCGCCCAACTCTCCCTGACCCCATCTGGAATTTTCTTGGCAGAAATACTGGAGTGGTTTGCTATTTTCTTCTCCTGCTCATTTTAACAGATGAGGGAGCTGAGACAAACAGGGTTAAGTGGCATGCCTAGGCTTACACAGCGAGTCGATGTCTGAGGAAGATGAAAGCCCTGACTCGAGGCCGGGCCCTGTCGAGCTGCCCTGTTTAGCATTTAGTTAGAGGCAACACTTGAACCCAGGCCTTCCTGGCTCCCTGGGACTCTATTACACACACAGCTTCTTTTCTCCAATTCCCGATTAAAGTATTTGGGGCACAGGACCAATCAAACCCCGAGTCTTTATTGAGTACTTCCCACCTGTTAGGCACTGTGCTGGCTGCTAGGGACACAGAGAAACAGAAGCAGCTCCTGCAGGTTCCTGAGGCTCTCCAGCGGTCCTCCCTCTAAGCTGACAACAGGCTATGGAGAGTTATCCTCGGGTCTAGTCTAGGGGTGGGGAAGACGTGGCCCTCCAGGTCCTCAAGTGCGGCCCTTTGAGCAGGTTCCCCCCTTCCCCCTGGGAGTCAATCAACCAGTTTCAAAGTCATCTGAATTATACCTACACCT